TGGCACGAGTATCATACCACCACCCTTGTACCTTGCCATACTATTGATTGCCATAATTTTGCTCATATTATCAATTATGTTGCCATCTTCTTGAGCAACATTAATCTCTTTTTAGACTTATTGTGTCTGCAATCTCGAGCAAAATGATCAGTTTACATAACAATCACCTTTGGGGGCCTTTTGTCTGCTGGAATTCTTAAACTTATTTGGTTTATTCTTAGGTCAAAGATGTTTCTTCATACCATCATGTTTCTTCTTTCCTTTTGCACGCACTGCATTAGCCTTAAAATATCCAACAGCTTCAGGTTTCTCTCTATCTTCTAATTCCTCCTCGATTCGAAGATGTTTCTGAATTTTCTTCAGTGAGAAGTCCTCGAAATTATGCAGCAATTTCTTCACATGGTTTGTCCATGAAGATTGCAATTTTGCAATGATTGCACCAACTTGAAAAACTTCGAGAATGTATATCTTTACAACCTTAAGTTTACTTACAAGTACATGTAACTCGTGTATATGTCCAAAATGGGCTTTGAATCTAACATTTAAAATCAAAATATTTATAAATTAGAAACCTTTTAGTACCTTCCTCTTCAGCTTTGAATTTGAACTCGAGTCCTTTCCAAAGTCCCATTGCTGATTGGGTGTTTGTGTAGAGATCACAGAGACGATCAGGTAGTGTGTTCATAATATGTTCACGGCATAACAATTCATCATCTGTTCATTTCTTGCGTTCTTTCTTAATTTCCACATAATCATTTTCTTTCAATTCTGGAATCGGTGTCAAGTCAAGATCCAAGACATAGTGAATCTTAAAGGCAGTCAGTAGGAACACCATCTTGTCTTGCCAACGAATAAAGTTTGCTCCACCGAAATGATCCAACATGATAAGGTCATGGTTCATGACTTTGATGCTTGAAATTGAAATCTCGGTAGCCATTACTTGAGATACTATTAGATTGTTAGATAAACTTTTTAAGTCGAATGGATCGAGACTTGAATCATGAATGTAATTATTTTCTTAATAGTATTTCAAGCATTCCCAAAGTTTCTTAGAGTCAATACGCGAGAATACTCAAGATAATTCAGTTTATATTCGAGTTTGCACAAGACCAATAAAAACTCAAATGTAGGAAAGATGAAAATATGAAATTTCTATGAAGAGGATAGGTTTTCCTTATGTGTAACATCACCTTGATGAAATACACCTTTTCTGCCACACTTCACACTAAATATTGTAATTTTTTACTTTTTACCAACTATTGCAAGACTTCACAAAGCATTGTCATTTTCGAATTCAAAAAATAACAAACTGAATCAACAATTACAAAAAACGGGAGCAACGACCACAACCATGTGTGGCGGCTTGTCTCCACGAGCCGAACTTCGACCGACCACCGAAGCATCGTTGTATAACATCGCAAGTAGTCAGATTGCTCTAATGTGTCCTGCTCAAATACCACCTACAAGGCACCACTAGTGTCTCTACGTCCACACTCCCAGTCGACAATGAGGAGTGTATAGGTGTCAAGTGGCATTAGACATACCATCACATTTTTCATGTAATATTTTATCTTCTTTAGCTCATTTGTTAAGTTAACAAATATAACTCTATATAAAAATTAATAAAGTGAGTTAAACTTTTTATATTGGACTATTTCTCAAATTCTCATGAATTGAATATTCATTTTCTCTATTACATTATTCTCTTGTCATTTTAAAACACATTAATAGTCATTAAGGATTATTAATTTAAAAAAAACAAAAACGAGACAAAAGACCTATAAAGGACCTTGGAGTTTGATGACTTGTTGCATAAGTAAGACTTCCGATCTTATAATTAGTTTGCTTCGATTAATTTGTTTTAGTTATGTTTTCATTTTTTGTTTTTGTTTTTTGTCTTTCTTGGATCAGGCTAGCCCCGGTTGTACATATTCTTTTTTCTTTTATAAAGTAGAATTTATATTCGTTTAAAAAAACTAAACTAATTTCCAAGTTAAAATAATATTAAGTTAACTTACAAAGAGTATGCATAATTTACTATAAATAATTTTGTCGTTGGTAAAGTCTTTTTGTCAAAAAAATATATGTAATAAAGCCCTTCAATATTATAAATATCTGTCTAATTAATTTGAAGATATTATTATATTCTCATAATTAATCTTCGTGCTCCACGAATAATTAATAATACTAATAATTAAATTGTTATATAAATTTAAATTTTTTTATTTTTTTATAATTGAATTTTTTTCATAAGGTTAAAATATATTCCAAGAAAGATTGATATAAAAAAGATCTCAAAAAAATATAAACTTAAAAAAGATAAATCTAACTTATTTTTTATCGAAGGTAAGGAACCAAATAATCTACAATTATATATTATAAAAATATTAAATAATATCAAAATATAATAGAGAAATATATGTGTTGATGTAGTTAAATTAAAAAACATAAATTATTACTAAAAGTGTAATTTTAAAAATATGCATAAGCTAAAGTATAGTAATAACATTTTACGATGTGCAAATCTATTAAAATGAATAGAAATGTTTTCAATTTACAATACTTAATATATACCTTCATTACATATATTTTCTAATATTGTATAATTAATGTATAGTAGAATATTATGCTATTTAGTTTTTTTGAAAAGTAAGTGGAATGTTTCATCAAAAGAAAATTAAGTGGAGTGATACGTCATGATTGTATTTGCTTCATTAGTTTCATTGATCACTTATATTTCTCAAAAACTATTTTTCAAAAAAACATTACTTCAAACAAAATATTGATCTATAATTGTTGATTAAGAATATATTTTTGAGATATTATTAATTAAGAAAACATCATTATCCAACAAACACGTCATTTATAACACTTGAATCACTTTGTTTTAGTTCTAAAGAAAACTTATTATGTTGCTATATTCAATCTTGTTTTAGGTTTTTATTAATAGAATATAAATATCAAGATAATTCACCTATTTTTATTTTCTTAAATGTATTATGACATCAGTCATCAAAAATAACAAAAGTTCTCGTTTTCAAATTGAGACTACCATATTCTCCTTTAATATTTACATCCTCCAATCTCAATAGATTTTTTCTCCTTTGATATTTATATTTATATGTAACAGTTCCACTTTCTAATTTAATATTCTTCTAATTTTATTTTCCAAATCAATTTATACTCATAATTATAATTATAATTTTATTTTTCTCCTGTACGGTTCAATTTCTAAAATAAAACAATTGATTCTATTAAAAAGCATAAAAGAATGTAAACTCTCAAAACTAAAAATTAATTCTTTTTCTCAAAAGAATATTTAAGATTTTCATGACAATATCTAAGATAAATAAGTGTTTCTCTTGAATATCTTTTTGTTTCAATAAATGATTTAATTATATATTTATATATGATATCAAATATATACGTTATTCAACAACCATCAACCTTATCAAACATGATTATCTCCAAAATTTCATTACCCTGTAGGAAATAAAAAATTTCAGACAACATATTTGGTGAGCATCTAAGTCTACACATATTATGTAACATGTGAATCCAAAAATAGATCACTATTCACGGTTGCTTATCCCATTTTTTGATGTACAAACAAGGATTATGGAAGACAATAGGGAGAGTTGATTATCCTTTGCTAGGATTGAAGTTGCATGTTCCACGCAGATTATCACACTTCGCAAATGTGCATAAAAAATGTTATAAATAGAGTTGCATGCAATTAAACACAAGTTCTCTCTCTAGGCAACAAAAGAATGACAAGCTTGATTACTTTTAACTAAAATATGGAAATTTAATATTTATTTGTCCAGGAGATTCCATCTCTTCCAACTGTAGACAGTTGATAAATATTTCAGTTCTGTAACATGACAGTTCAAGGTGGAGTTTGAGCAAATAGATTTACATTTGCTTGCCTTCTAAAGTTTGCGAATACGCAGACTCCCACAGATAATCACGACAGTGCATAAACACTTAGGCCCAAATTAACTTAAATCGTGTGATAGATACAAGCTCTGATCTGAATTGTATATTTTATACTAATACCTTTAGAAATCATGTATTCTGCAAACATAACTTTGTTGGTAATTAAATGACCTAGTACGCCTGATTACATGAAAAATGTAATTGGTTAAGTACCATATTAGGAGAATAGAGGCCTTTCACAATATAGGGAAGAATGAGTTTGACTTCTTTGTAAATGCGTGAATAACACCACAGATCTTTCAAGAAAGAAAAAAACAATGATATAATTAGTTGATGATGAAACTTTCACACAAAGGCCATAACATATGAATGCTTGCTTCCTTGCAATGAGTGTCAGGAAACAAAATTTAATATCAAGGATTAAAGACAACTTCTAGTTGAGGCCAGAACCAAACTATAATATCTTGAAACAAATATTTCCTTTTACCAAACCTCAGAAATTTTAAACTTCCAATACAGAAACTTGTTATGTCTTAGATTTATCACTTTTGAAGGAAAGTCTTAGATTGAAACTTATCGTTCACTTCAATAATGAGCGACAATTCAATAAGCACTTATCATATAAAACTGATGTGAAGTTGTTTCTACTATTATAAACTCTAAAAATTCATTTTTTAAAACTATTATAAGACATGAAATTAACGTTCAATGACATTTCAATAAACACTTATCATATAAAACTGGTGTGAAAGTTACTTCTAACGCATCCAGAAGAGTCTCACCATATACACTAATAAGCAAAATATGGTATAAAAAATCACATTGACACTAATAAGCAAAATATGGAAAATAAAAAATTAAAATAATCAAATGTAGCACCAAATTTCGAACAAAATTATATGGACTCATTAGAATTCATGTATAATTCAGTTTCTTTTTGCAAAAGTTTTTCCGCCTTGATTCTGAGTTTATACAGCTAATTGAATAAAAATGTAAAGACAATACTTATGATTGCAGTTATGTAGTAAGACATAAGTTACTTATTTCTTTCATGATAGCTCTCAACTGCAAACATGACCGTCATGTTGAACTTCAATTTCTATTTTATATCTAAAAAAGTCAATATTACCCATAAGTATGTAGCAATACAATCTAGAGCATAAGCAGACAGTGAAAAACAAAACAAATCTGAAAATCATAACACAATGAAAAAAGAAGATACAAAGGTCATTGAGGTTGAGTGAGTAATAATGAAAAACATAACAACTATTTAAAACACAACACATTGTTGTGAGAGTCGGAGAAGTAGAAACTGTGGCCGACGGCGTTGAAACGAATCCTAAAATCGAAAAATCAGAGTTTCATAGACAACCAAAATTCATTATGGTTTTTTGATGAAAAACCCTAAAAATTGAAAAATCAGAACAAAAAGGATTAGGAACACAAACCTGAAATTAGTATCTTATTTCTTCAAATTAGTGTCTTGCAATCTTATTATGCCTCCAATATGATTTATATGTCTCTTGTTTCCAGATCCTTTAAAACTGATCTACATGTAAAATAAAGAGAAAGTATCTAAAGTAAAACCTGAGAAAGAGAGACGAACAAGAGAAGATGAACAAAATCAATAGAGTGAAAGGAAAAGAGAAATACTCGTGTTCGATCTGAAAGTGATGATTGTCGTTTGGTCATGTGCGGCGGAGTGATCGGTGCTTCGCGTTTTAATCACGACTGGAAAGAGAGACGTTTGCGGCGGATTTGTGGTGGCCATAGATATCATAGGATTGGAGGAAGAGGTTGCGACAATGTTAGGGTTTGAGAGAGGATAAGAAGAGATTGGAGAATGTGAGGGAAGAAGAGGGAACGGGAGAAAGAAAAGGAAAATGAGAATTTGAAATGTGAAAAGTTGAGGAACAGGTGGTGGTGTGTGGTTGAGTAAGAAGTGTAGAAACTTGGTGTTTATGAATAGAGAAATTAGCCCTTTTTACCTAATAATTTGTTGGAACAGAAAGGACATTATAGATAGAATAATGGCATCTTTCTATCTATAATTTGTAGTAGATAGTAGATAGATAAATGACACACCTTCAAAGCATCAACAATAAAATTAGGTAATCAAACTTAAGAGAGACATGATTGATCACTCTCATTGGCTCACACTTCTTAGCATTCCTTCATTATCCTAGATCTTCCTTAATAATAACTACAATTATAATATGCTTAAAAAATGAGTCAATAAAGAGGAGTTTTCAAAAGTATTTGGTATAATTTCAAAACTATGTTAGGGTGCATATACAGGAGTTTGTCCAAGCAAACATGTTCCTCCTTAAGAATAATATTGACAAGTTTAAGGCTAATGAATGGATTCTGTTATTTGTGTGGCTGTCAATGATCCATATACTATGAATGCATGGGCTGGCAAGATTCAAGCCCAAGATGCTGTAAGTATGTGATGTTTTTTTTTTCAAATGGAACTAAGTGAGTAATTCTGTTTCCTTTTTTTCCTTTTCCAGATTGAGTTCTATGGGGACTTTGATGGGAACTTTCACAAAAGCTTGGAATTAACTGATGATTGCTCTGATTGAACTCATTGACACAAACATTTGTTGTTTTGGTGTAGATGGTCTGCATATGTGGTAGATGGAAAAGTCAAGGCTCTTAATGTTGAAGAATCTTCATCTGATGTCAAAGTTTCTGGAGCTGAGACCATTTTAGAACAAATTTGATGTTTCTGTTGATTTTTAGGAATGTAGCAAGTCTTCAATAAACTTGTCTTGCTCGATGACAAGTGTTTAATAAAATATACCCGTGCTACAATGTTGTTAAGAAATTTTCTGTTCACTCTTTTTTTTTTTTAAAAGCTTTTAGTTGGTTCACTTGTTTTTTATTATTATTTCTTTTATTTTTGGACCTCTTTCCCATGAAATGACCTCCTAATCAAGACTAGGTAGATAGTTCAAATCTAAATTAATTAGTTAAGACTGTTAATTATACTTGAGAATATTCAACAAGTCCTCATCTCAATAAGTAAATTCCGATATAAGAGGAGAATACTTAACACACAAAAATTACTTTCAATTCACTCAACTTTTCAAGTTCAATAGAATCAATTGTCATAGGTATTCTGTTAAGGAAAATTGCTTATTATGTTAAACCAAGGTGGCTTAACAATAAACAGTCATAGTTAGAGTCTTAGAGAGATACAAATTGGAAAAATATATAAAAATATTAGCCCCTTGGTAGGCAGTGGGGATTCTCGCCATTTCATATAAAAAATAGAAGACTCCATTACTATACTCCTTCCTTCGTCTTAAAATAACTTATAATTTTTCATGACAATATCATTACATTTCTTAATTTGTATACAAAAGCCTTAAACATCAGTCATTTTAAAATACTATAAATAAATGTCACATGTCAATCTTGACATTGACCCGGTTGGTGCAATTTTGTCTCAAACAAGAAAGGTTGGATTCGATCCATTTATCTTACGTATCAAATACTATAAAATAGTACAGCGAATGATAACATCCACCATTTCTTTTACCCTCTTTTACGTGAGTTGAAATCTTCTTCCTCTTCATTTCTTTAAGGAAATAGAGAATATCATTACTAAGGTTTTCATTGTATAAAAATCAAAGTATATAAAATATATATCACTTTACAATAATATAAATAGATCATACCCCAAAACTTTAGTAATGGTGCTCTCCATTTCTTTTGAGAAATAGTGAGGATGATCTCAACTCCTTTTATGTCAAGACTTCCATAATCTTTGACAAATTTAGCATTATTGATATGTCATAGGCATGTCATTTAATTTAATACTACTAGACATTAAAGTAGGTGAGGTCCACATAAATAACATTTCAATCTCTAAATAACAATTTTAAAATTTAGTAAATCAAGTATCGGCATGTAGAGGGGGGATAAACAATAAACATGGATGAGAAATCCACTGAGCTCTATAAAATGATCGTATCAAAGTTTAAATTCCTTCTACAAATGATGAACCATTTGACAACAATGCAGGACGCATACCAACACGTACATTGGTTATCAAAGCCGTCTCTTGCATTTCTTCAACAGTTGAATTACTCCCCCCAAGCTTAAATCTTCACAGCATCATGTCCACTCTTGAATCAAGACAGATAGTAACCAAATTGAAAGAATCAGTCACCTTTCAACCAATAATATAATTGTAATTAACTACTTCTAAAAGTAAAAATGAAACCGTTTGATAGGCAGAGATGGAATGGACTAACCTGAACACATGGAGGAATTTCCATTTGACCAACGACAGCGGTGCTAGAAATGTGTGAGGGAGCAACTGAACCAACATTATGAACCACGCCTCCGCTGGTTTCATTTTGAAAGCCTGACATTCCCTCAATACGCACCGGAACGATAGGAGAATTAGACCTTTTTGATGCAAGTTCAAGGCGTTCAATCATACGTGAAACTCCAGCTATGCCTGCATTCATCTCACGCTGAACACCTTTACTCAGCTCTTTCACTGTCACATTACGAGCAAGTAACTTCTCTTTGAGTCCACGGGTACTTTTGGAAATTGACTCCTTATATCTGTTTCAATATTTAAGATGTGTTAGCACCAAAGGGTTATCAGAATTTATAAGAATCCAAAAGCTAATAAGTTTACCTGGCTGAAGCAGCAGAAAGTTTGGATTTGATGGACTCAGGCAAGGAGAACACCTCGGAAGTATTTAGTTTCCTACCATCCTGAGGTGGTGACGGACTGTAAAGAACTCTGAACACAAACCAGGAAAAAGTTAACATATGAAACATCAGTAGGTAAACGAGTAAATGGACATTTTGGTCCTTGAATGTATCAGGTGTCATCGTTGTAGTCCCTGAATTAACTAAAATTACAAAATATCCTCAAATGAATCTCTAGTTAGTCAATTTTGTCCTTGAATGTGTTCACTATTAGTTAGTTTGATCCTTGAACGTGTCGTGTCTTTCATTAGTCAGTTTAGTTCATCAAATTACTAATAGAAGATACACTTGAGAATGTTTTTGTAATTTTGATACATTGATACATTCAGGGGCTATAGTGACACCACACCAAAATGACTCATTACGTGTGTTAAACTCAAGGAAAAAGCTTTGTCTAAATAACTGATAAAAGTGCCACTGCTTTATAATTAAAAGTGAGAACACAGCCACTACCTGGGTCGGTAAGAGACATCAGCCTCAGGGCTTATGTTTCTTGCGACCTCAGGATGAAGGTCGGCAGCCGATGGTAAACCAGTGATCGGAGAACTACTGCCAGCCAGTGAAGTTGTAAGAGTTGGTTGCACCCCAGATACCTCCGACGGACCTGCTCCGGACGATCCTTGTCTTCTCTGTCTCTGAACAAAACGAGCTCTACTTGCAGCAGCATATAGGTGCTGCATAATTTGCTCGTCAAAGTCAACGTCATCTGAGCGAGAAGCATCCTGAAAGTGTATAATTTTCCTCTAATCATTGAATGATAGTATGATACATGTATCATGGAAACCGATACCAATAAATAATAACAAAGAGAAGAGTTTTCATGACACTGTCAATTCACTCACATGGTCGCCATTAAAACGTTCAACGGGGTCAGAAGAATTAGTGAGTGAAGAAGAATGAATGTTTCTTGATCTTAAGCATTTTTCAGCCTCCACGGCAACAAGAAGCTCTTGGCTACAAAAAAATATAAGCCATCAATAAACACTACTAATCATACCATAAAAAGCCTATATTGAGAATCGAAAAGAAAGTGATTACTTGCAAGTAAAAACATACCTAGCAGGGTCTTTCAAAGAAAGTGATTGCCAACATATTGGGCATTCTTTGCTTCTCTGTGACCTAAACAAAAAAAGCAGCCATGTTAGAAGATACCAATCCAATCCACACCAATCCATAACCTACTTATCAATCCATAAGGTTCCAGCTTACCATTCAAGAATACAATGCAGGTGATATTCATGTTTGCAACAAGTAACCTGAAATTGAAAAGGAAACATTATTAATCCCCACAAAAAGCATAATTAAACACATCAAAATAGATAAACACATAGATTCTGAGTAAATGTTAGCCAACACAGAATTCATCAAGCTTAATCCTGCAATACACTGAGTGAGATATAGATATGTCAATTGTTAATCCTCATCAAAGATCTCAAACAAAATTTAAAAAATAAAATAAAAAATAAGAGACACATAACAAAAACCAAAAGTGGAAAACGAAAAATACAGAAAATCAAGAAAATGAAATGAATCAGTGAAATTGAGTTGA